CCACAATGTTGCTTTCGTCTCTTCCTAGCCAAGGGTGAAATAGGCTTCAATTGTCCTTAACCCTACTTCTTGCTGTACCATTGTTAAAGCAATAAATGCTGCCTCAAGAAGGAAAGTTCAGTGACTGGTAGTGACTGGGAATAGAGACAACAGAAGTAGGATAGGGACCCACAGTGAGGATAGCAGATTTCATGCCCATGTAGTTTTCTACCAATTAGAGGACATATGGAGAGTACTGTAACTCAGTAGTGGGAAAACACCCTTTATCTATCTCTGGCCTTTGTTTGCCTGATGCAGTGTATGATCTCCAGCCCTTCCTTCACATGACCACATTTTCTACCTACATCTCACTGGACTCGTCTGCCCTTACTCAGCTAACTCCTAGGTCTGAAAGTTACTCTGTATGCCCATGTAAATTCAAGACAATGATAAATAAATCTGGTATGTTGGTATGAGAAGGAATCTCCTATGATTCAAAGAAAGAATATTGGAGATCCTGTACTTTAAATCAACAATATGTTTTCAAAGTGAAAGTATCTGACTTTAAAATGTCGGGGCACCAATTTCCAAGTGAGATGCTGAAATATGTTGACCATGGCTGTATTCATCTGGGTATATGCAATCATTCTCTAATAAAATTGAGAGCCTTTAGAATTACTGGTAAATACAAAATTTAAAAAATGCAGGAACATGAACAATATATGGGGCATTATTTGGCACCAAGTCAGAAATATTCTGATCTAGCTTTCATGAATAAGATGTGTACCATCTCAGTGATACCAAGGAGTAGAATCCATCACTGCAGCAATATAAGTGAAAATATTTTATCCATGTATAGCCAAGGATAATTTTATCATCCATTCCAAGTAGCAGCCACAATTGTGGTACTCTATCACATCAAAAGCCATTAACTCAATGGAGACATTTGGGGGCTGAAGAGCAGAATGGTAACCTTTTTTAAAAAAAATATTTGTATATGGAGTTATCAAGTAGCTAAAAAGATGAATAATATCAAAAGATTAGCAATATCATCTGGTCCTTTCTTTCCAGGGACATACGACATACAAGACAGCAAATAAAAACACAGCCAAATAACTAAAACATTATTTTAAATTACCACAACCACAGAACTTAATAGCCAAACCAGATGGGTTTATCTGAAAAATTCTTGTATATACAGTGGTACCTCAGGTTACGAACTTAATTCGTTCCGTGACTCTGGTCTCAGCCCGAATTGGTCGCAACCTGAAGCAAATTTCCCCATAAGCTTCAATGTAATTACTGTTAATCCATTCTGGCGTGGAGGACAGGAAGGCGGCTATTGCTTGGAGGGAGAGTCCCCCTCCCTACAACCACGTGTCAGGGGTGGAAAATGGCAACGGACCACATGTCAGGGGCGGAAAAATGGCCCCAGACCATGTGTCAGGGGCGGAAAAA